TCCTACGTTTCCGAGTGCTCAGGCATTGCTAGCAAGAAGAGGAGAAAACTGGGTGGTGCGGTAGGGTAGTACGTTATTGTTGCTGGAGAAGAAAATTTCTCGAGAAATCCCGGAAATAGTCGAAATTAGGAGTGATTATGCTGCAGCGCACAAACACACGCTTGCCGCAAGGATGGATGAAATGCGTTTCGTTCGCTGCCGGCCCTATTGATCCTAGTTAGCTTAAGTCCTCCATATGCTTTCGTGCTCAGAAGGCAGCTCGTTTCGCCAGCCCCTCGCCTAAGTTTGCGCAATACCAACTGAATATTTTGTTACATCATCAACATCGCGATCACAGTCATAATCAATCATTATCATCATCGTTTTCCTTTTAAAATTATCATAAATTAGTTCATTAATACTGTACTGTGTGTTAGTGCATATGTATGTGTGTATGTGTGTGTGGGTATGTGTGTGTTTTTATCACCAAACGCATTGTATAATATGTACATCCTGTATGATGAATAAACCATTGCGTATTACATTATCAACCTCATAATCGTGGTTGTCATCAGTAGCACAAGTCCATCCGAATTCAGTTTTCCAGTGCGCACACCAGTTTGTTTGTGTTAATACACAGCTGCCATTAAAACAACATTTTATTAAAACTGAAAATGAGGAATCAGAAAGTCAGGGATCGAGAATATCCGGAATTGGAGCGCCTATCATCCACTGAAGTATTTGCATCACAGTTTCTTGTAGCCTGATCGGTAACCATGAAAATGGCCGGTATCTGCAACGAATCAAATGGTCACGAAAACACCAAATTTATAGATGCAGCAACTTTTTTATTAGACCACTGTTGCGCCATTCTAGCCGCATAATACGTTTATTGAGCATTGTGTGGCTACGTTGCAAAGCTTCTCGAAGAGGTACTTCTCTTACGAGGAACGTCCTCTTTCAAATGAGTATGAACTGGGAGGGAAACGAACCACTCGTCTTCACATCTGTTAAACCACTGCACCCCTTTTGCGCTGGCCTCAACAGTTGAAAAATATGTCTGTTTTTTTCTTTATTTGTCACTCAGCACATTCTCTATCACTTAGTTGCTGCATTTTATGCAACATACGGTGTCGGCTTTTCGTGGGATTTCCGCCACAAGCTTCGGGCCTTATTTGGGATACTTGGAAAAACTATCAAGCTTGTTGTGGTGGTAAATAGTGCTGCTGTCGTACAAAATACCGAGAGTTCGACCGAGAAAGTGATATCACCAGTCTTTCTACATTCGCTCATTTAGTCCGATGGCAAATTGCAACTTCCGCATGTCAACAAGTCAAACTATACTTTTTTTGCATCGTTACCATAAAAAACGAACGTTTGCTATGTGGAGCTCAAAATTGTCTAAAAGATGTTGGTACTGAACAATGATCAAATACAACGTACAGGAAGCAAGCGTCAAGGCCAACG